AAGAAGAAGAAAGAAATCAAGTTATGATTTGGGATCAGGAGCAACAGGACATGTAACTTCTGGTGTTAATCGAAATTATTTGTGTCGAATAACATGTCGAATTTTATGGAGAAGCAAAATTGTTATATATATATATATATATATATTCTTTCAAAATGCCTTTTTGCAGTCAGGAGCAGCCATTGGCGGGGAAGATGGCTGCACATTCAGGGGACACCTCCCCCATCAATGGTTAGTTTTGTGCAGTCTAGTGCACATTTCTGTTTTACTTTTACGTTAATAAATGACATCAATCTACAATGTGAAGAGCAGAAATATCATACTTTCAAAATCAGTTAGCTTAAGATGGAACTAAATACTGTCAACAGCTGAATAGATCAATCATAAAGTCATAAAAAGCCTAGAAAAACAACTCTGTAAAGCAGTGAATATAAAGTTTAAACCTTAACCATTCTACTGAACAAAAAGTATAAATTTGAAGAGCCTGTAGGTATGCAAGTCTGAAGAGTGAAGATCCTACTAAGACTAATTAATTACAAGTTTTAAGAAATGTAGGAAATCTGAGTAATCTGTTTGGAACAAATAATAGGGGGAAAGACTATATCAGTTTACTATTGGTCCATCTTCTAATGAAGGGATGACTAAGAAAGCTGTTCAGATAAGACTTAGCTCAAGGCACTATGTAGTGTGGTAGTAGAGTTGCTTATGCTCTTAGCCACATGTCTAGGGTTCAATTCCTAGTCTCTACATACCAAAAAAGAAAGAAAGATACTCCTTGGTCCTTGTGCATTGTGAGAGCTCGACAAGTGGATAATGTGTTCAAACAAATTTATAGTTAGTCATGCCACAGGGATAATCTGCCAAGTTTTAAGATGGCAGAAAATGTTTACACATCTTTTTTTCAGTATTTAACGTTTACACATTTTCCATTTAAAGAGGTTCTAGAAATCAACAAAATATCCTACCATGAATGCACCTCATGGGCATCCTACAAAGACAAAACAAGACTACTCATATACACTTAATTCAAATGCTTCTACCCAAAAATGGCATGAACTGATAAGAAGCCATGTTTTTCAAGATTTCATTAAACTGGACTGTTCTTGCCCTCATCCTTCCTTTTAAGACGCGACAATGAGAATACTTGCTGTCTCAGAAGTTAATCTTATAAAACATCACTCCAATTTTTTTTTGGTTAATTCCCTACTTTCCAATAATCCAACAGAAATTTACCTAATATAAACTAAATTACCAGGCAACTCACCTAACTCATGAATGGATATAAACTGGAAAAGGCAGTTTTCCATGGTCCTTAAAAAGTTTTTAATTTCCAGATAAAGAATTTAACAATGCTTAATCCTAATATAATTTGCATCAAATCCTAACTACCCAGAAACCCACCTATATGCAACTAAACGGCAAAACAAAATTCAAGAAATTTCAATCATACAATTTAGAATTAATTTCGCAAACCTGATGCAGCAAGAACAATTCCCTCCGCAAGAATGATCCCACCAAGCCCCAACCAAGTAAGAAGAAAAGCACTCTCGTTCCTCCTCTTCTCCTCAAATTTAGCCTCCTCTTCTTTGCTAAGAAAAGCAGGTTTCTCAACCGGCAACCGTCTTACTACCGATGCCCTCTCTCTCTTGCTCTTCTGCTTCTTCACAGACTTCCCCGGAGGTGAGGAGGAAGAAGAAGAAGAAAACGGGCCAAACCCTTGCCCCGATGCAGCCGGCTTCTTTGGCGGCGAAGGCTCGGCAGTAGGCTCGGAATCAACGTTGGACCCTTGGCATCTGAGGGTGAATCTGGGCTTGACGTGGAGGAAGGAGTGCGATTGTGGAAGATAGGGTTTATCGGGAAAAGAAGAAGGAGTGTGGATTTGTAGCGCCATTTTCAGTTTAGTCGGTTACAGATGAGGGTGTTGGATTTTGCTTGGGTCTGGTTGGCACTATTTATGTTATTGTCCCTGAAAGATTGAGTTTTTATGCTAAGCCTCCACCCCTTTTTCAAAGGTTTCTGAACAATAATTTCTAGATTGTCATACATTTCTCACACCATTTCCATTTTTTAATCATCTTATTATTGGATTATTATGGAAAGAGATTTAAGGTTTATTTTTCTTTTCTTGGTAGAGATTTAGAGGTGTTAGGTCTTAACTCTTAGATTGGAGTAGGATGAAATTAATATAAGGGCCTTTTAGTATAGTTGTGTTTAAAAGAAAATGAGAAGTAATTTTTTCCTTAAAAAAACCTACTATTTAAATGGTATTTAAAATGAATAGTGTTTGCTTCCAAAACATTTCTTATATGAAAGTTCATTTAGAAAATGTGAGGATATGTCTGGACATCTCATGTTAGTTTCCTCTAATTTGAAGTATATCTTAAATTATCATAGTCCTCATCTTAGTCTCCACTTTTAATTGCATAGAAAGCTCATGAAGGTTTACCATATCAGATCCATACTTCTACAAATATCGCTTAAGGCATCACATTGTAATACTCTGAAAATCACTCTAAGCAAACCACATGGACCTCATTCCTTACTTATAAATACCCTTAAGGGTCCTCATGAAGGTACTTTTTTTACCTATAAACTCTTTCTTGTTTACTATGGTTGCACGGTAGAATATTATCGACTTAAATATCGAAGTGTCCACCCTTGAGTCTTTCCAAATTTTCTCACTTCATGCTGTTGAACTTGACGAGGAGGACTATAGAGTTATTACATGCAATCAAAAAAAAGGAATTTGAAATTATTTTATTCATATTTTCTTCATTGAAATTTCTGTTTTAGAATTTTTCATTTGAACACAATGTAAGTGTCAAAATGAATGAGAAAAACTTAGGGTTGAATGTCCACTCTTTGTAACGGAAGAGGGAAATAATTTAATTCATCATGTTTGTCAACATAAAATATATTCTTGGCACTTGTTAGTTCAAGGTATGCTTGCATCGACTTAGAGATAACATAGAGTTGGACAATTAGCATGAAAAAGTTATTCAAGTAGTGACACGAGTATATTATTTCTGAACAAATAGTTTTCTTGTTTTTAAGCATGTCACTATCTTTTTTTGTATAAAATATATAACTTTTTTTTTTATTAGAGTAATATTTACATACCACTCAGTTACATTTGTTAATTTTTGCTTGTAGTTAATATGTAAAATTTAAAAAGGAGAAAAAATTGATTAATATGCAAAGACAACAAGGAGGAAATCGAAGTACTTCAATTATAGTGGGGTCAATTTGTATTCTTACAGAAGTATAGACCATAAATTAATTATTTTTTATGGGTTTGCTAGGGAATAAAATATAAAAAGTTACATTACATTTTCTCTTCACGCGCCGTATGCGCTGAGTTTTTCTCACGCCAGTCTAATGGATCGGGCTGTGCCCAGTATGTCAGGAGGTCTCACAACCTCGGGTCGAACTCAACCAAGTCCAAGCCCACTTATAGCCCACTTGATGAGAAAAAGTAAAACTATCCTAAGTAGACCTTCAAATTTCTTCCTTTGTAGCAACGAAACTCTTTTAGTCCTTTTTTTTTAAAGTAGAAATCAAGCCCCTCAACTTAGAGAAATAAAGTAATAAACCCAAGGTAATGATGGAAGTCACTTGAAACACCTGACATTAAGTAAAATTTGTTGGGATTTCTTTTCTAATTTGCTCGAAAAAGAAAACTTTAAATCTGTTAAATTAGAAAAACAGATATATTTTCAATAAAAACGTTTTATTTCTCTCAAGACATATTTAGGGTGTAAAACAAAAAATGAGATATAACTAAATTATTGTCCAATCCCACTCTATCCACATTCGGTAGGGTCATGAGATGGGATAAGTTCTATCCCATGTTGTATCCTATTCCAACCTCATCAAATAACTTTTATTCCACCTCCACGATTGGATTAGGTGGAATGGATTCAAATTTACATCATTATCTCT